AATCATACATTGAGTTTCGATGAAAATTCCAGACCTTTTGAGTGGTTATAAACTGTTAAATTTGATAAATATTTACTCAATGGGGTCTCATGTATTATTATTGTCGGTTTGCATCAACTAATGATTTTCTCGCGATTTGACTTAACAGTTTTTTTCCTTTTCTATAGCAAAGAGTAAATATGTCGAAAATGCTGCTTAATTCTTTCCGTATTCAAAGTGACACCATCCAAAAACTACTGCATGTAAACAATTAGAATTTTTTACACACAAGCCTTAAAATATAAGTTTTCAAATCATATAATAATTATAGAGCTTAGTTTTATGTTAGTTTCAAAAAATATAGTTAAATTCTGGTAGTAAAAAAAACGAAGTGAACCTTATAATTAACATCTCTTAGGATAAGTTATAGTAATCGCAAAAAATCGAAAATGAAAATGTTATATATAAAGGTTTCTAAACATTTGGCATGTCTTATTATTAGAAAAATGGATGTGTGTGTGTGGATACAATTCTGGTCCACAATTGCATGAACACTAATCAACCAATTTAAATAATACTTACTGCTGTATACTGTGTCGGATGCGGCGTAATATTTTAAAAGCCCATTGTAAATTTTGATGCGCAGCTAGCTGTCTAGTTAATTTGCGACTTTGCTCACAACACATTCTTAATAATCCATAATAAGCTGGCAGCATGGATCGATTAAATAACAACATCATGGTCATCATGATCAGCCCTAAAATTTACACATATATATTATTTATTATATAACATAAAAATAAAATCAGGTATAAATTTAAAAAGCAATTGAAATACTTTAATCTGATATTGCAAAGTGTAAAATATTGTCCTAGATACAGCAACAATATTCATTCAAGATACTCAATTCACATTTATTAATTAAAATAATATAAAATGAATATTAATAATTTAAGAAACTCACATCAGCACATTGTTATTATCACAAACTAATATTTTACTAGATAATATTTTAATAATTTGATAACTCATTTATACTTACAAAATATAATTAAATGCTATGTTTCTCGTGATATCAACATTTTGTACAACTATTTGAGCATTTTCTGGACAGTCAACTGTTATGTGTGGGGGCCAAAACACTAGTAATGCCTGTTTATTATGATGAGCTGCAACACTGGGTTTGATAATCTCGGATGAAACAAGTCCCATAGAGCTCTTATATGAGGTCCAACCTATAAGAATTTTTATTTTAATGAAATAAAATAAATACATAATTATTTTATTGCAGCAATACCAAAAACAAAAACATATTTCTGCAATAATCATCACAATTATAAAAATTCTAATATAAAACAACAGTTAGTAAAGAACATTGTAAATGTTTCAGAACAAACAACAGTTAGTAAAGAACATTTTAAATGTTTCTAGTATTAATTACATTTATTTACTTATTTAAATAAGGTCATACATATTGAATCATATTGAAGAAATCATTTATATCCCTGGAGTTATAAAAAAACGAAAAATTCGAAATGATTGCCAATTTATAGTACAACAGACTGTAAATGAAATCATTTTAATTAGATCATTTGAAATGCTTTGAGATATTATATGGAGTAGCAAAATAATCATTTCAAACTTTATGAGAAACTTAAATTTCAAAAACAAAAATATTACCATCAATTTTTCTGTCCTGCCGCTAGCAAAATACGTCATCAGTGTAAAATAAGATGTAAGTTTTAATGTTCCATGCGAGGGTACATCAGCATAATGTCTAGCTGGTCTTAGTAACCGCAAAAGCAAACCCAACACTTGCCTCTGCACAGCTGTAGCTTCTGATGGCAATTCTCGAATAGCTTGTTGTTGCAATTGCTGTTGAGCCACAGTTGTGGCTACAGTTGCAGCTGTGGATGCTATACGAGTTCCATGGTAGGCTTGCCTGAAGGGCAAATGTGGCACTAGAGAAACTAGCAAATACGCAGCAGCTAAAAAAGACAATATTATATATAATAGTACAACTTGGATTACTTCATTGCAGTAATTTTTTAAAAAAATTGTTCAAAATAGTTTCCAAAAAAATTTTTTTTTTCAGTCTTGTAAAAATGTTTTGTAAAAAAAAACATTTTTCCAACTTGTCCATATATAATAGTTTATATGATTGTCACATATTCTAGATTAACATATTAAAATATAAAATATTTTTTTCTTCAGAATTTATATAGGGCTATAATCATGGGTGTGGTCAGATGACAATTTTTTGAAACCCTCCATTTATCACCTTCTAGAATTGAATTTTTATGACATTTTTTTCAGATTCTAAAAAAATTAATTAATAACTTGAAAAAAATATATAGTAAAACTATTGTCTTTTTTTTACGGTCTTTCAATAATTGCACAAATTCATGTCCTAAACCAGAATACACCATTAAAGAATCCACACTTTTAAAATAAATCTCTGTATGACCAATTTTGTATTTAAATTTTAATTTGAATTTTATTTTTAAATTTAAATTTTAAATTTACCTGATCTAACCCTTTGATTATTATGAGCTATAAGAAAATGCTCAACCCAGCAATCTGCACTTTGTAAAACCCAAGCATGTGCCATTTTATTCCTTGGAGCCTGCACCGCAAGCCATTCTAAAGCACTATGAGGACAAAACTCTGCTGCATCCCACACACGTTGCAGAGCCAAATTGCTGAAACATGGGAGCCCCGAAGGACCAGCAGATGCATCCGTTAGAAGGGTCAGCAGTTTAAAAAACGGTGCACATAACTATCAAACAAACAAAAATTTCAGGTGAAAATAAAGGATCTATGTAATATAGGGAATATAAAAATCATCATAACATCATCTGGGCTGCATTTATTTAAATTTTTTTTTCAATTATGGCAGATGCCAATCATCAATCTACACTTATAATAAAATCAAAAACTTTCAAATCAAGTTTAGTGAAATTTAAAATTTTAAATATATTGATGCCGTTCAATTCATGACATAAATGTTTCATAAATAATAATAAATTTAGTATTTGGTTAATCTGTGTGCAAATACTTATATGAGTATACTTATACTATATTTATACTACACTCTCGATTTCTTGATTTGAAGGCAAAAATTTAATACAGTAATGATAAGTATTATTCCTTAAGGCTATGCAATATTTTTCCTTAATTGTTCATTATTAAAATTGAAATTATGTTCTTACCTCTGCATGTTTAGTTATGGAATGAAACATCATGGCAACTATTTGCGTTGCAAGTCTTTCATTATAACGACATAATGCATGCACTAATAAGCGTGTATGCTGAGGATCAATCCATCCCTTATTTGCTGATATAGAAATGGAAAACCCTAAAAATAATAAAACTTTGTTAAAATATTCTATAAATGGTACTGATAATTAGTTCTAATTGTCAATACCATTAAATAATTTACATTGAATGAATAAAATGATTTTGTAAATCAAATTATCTCACCTTTGCAAAATATAAGTAACTAATTAAATGTATCAACATTTTTTAAAATTGATCAAAGTAGCAATATTAATTGAACAATCATATTAAGCTTTGTTACTAACCTTTCCACCGGCTATCGCGCTAAAGTCTCTCTATTGCTTAGCTGAAGATTATGATCTGGTCCCCGTGATTTTTCAACCAAGCTTGCTACTAATGCAACCATTTTATCTAAAGAAGCAGGGCGTGGTGTTGTCATTGCAAAGCCCTACGGATGAGCATCCTAAAGAACCGGCCCAACTGAAGCGCCAACAGTGCCTACAGGAGTGGTGGACGCAGGCTGCTCCTCGCTATCAGACCACCGGATTGCTCCTGCTAAAATAATGGATAATAAATTTTATTGCAAACTATTATTAATATAAATATTAATATAAATTGGATATTTTTAAAACTTTTATATGAATATTATTTATATTGCACAAGTTATATCTATTCAACATTTAATCAATAGACAAATCAACAAATAGTTTTTTTTTTCACATTTAACACGTTATTTATAAACTCTTATAAAAAATATTGAACACAAAAACTTCAATAGAAAATTGTGTTTAAAATTGTATTAAAATCACTTAATAAATATAACTTACAGTTTCTTGTTGTGATTTTTGTCCGAGATAAAATTCGACTACACAATGTATGACGCCAATCCGTAGTAAAAATGCAGATTCCTCATCTCCCATTCGGGAAAATTCTAATAATAAACCAAAAATTCTGAAAGGTGACGCAAATGTGCCCTGGCTCCATGTTCCATCTTAAAAAAAGAAATTAATTAAATTGAAACATATTTATTTACAAAAAATGTATAGTTTAGGAATCGCTGAAGACGAATTACAGCTGTTTATAATAAAAGAGATCATTTGTTAACAGAATGAAAAAATCTTACCAATGAAATGAGTGATCTAATAAATCTTGTAACACATGATTTGCCACCTAGACTTTCTTCGGGTAAAGCATTTTCATCTTCTTCACCCTTTAGGTATAATTGAAAATGTGATTGTCTGTAAGATAATAAAATATATTTGGTGAGATAACTGAAAACTGCAACAAGCAATTGTTGTCTAATTATATATTTAATATTTAAAATTGGAAACGGTATTGATCATATTTCTGAATTTATTCCTACATAACAATTATTTTATATTATATAGTAATATAAAAAATATATAAGTTGACATTGTTTAAGTTAGTGCAAAAGAATATTTCTCTTCACGGTCTTATCTTAAAATGCCTGGTGCGAATTTATTAATTACAATTAATCTCAATTTATGTTATAAAATTTTAGCAACATACCTCAATCTTTGGATAACATGTATACATAGCCTTTGAAACATTTGTCGAACCATTTGATTCGGACATTGAATGAGAACTTGTAGAGGCCACCAGGGCTCAGAACACATTTGTTCCAAAAACCATTCACAAGCTGGTTCAGAGCCATTGAATTGTTTTGTAAGTAGCTCAACCCATTGTACCATAGTTGGCTAATGATAAAATATCAACATTTATACACATGATTATTAATAAACATCAACAATATTATATTTACAAATACCTTTTCCTTTGCATGAATGAATGTTTCAATAAAAAATGATGTTGAAAGTTGAGCAGCCAAACACGTTATATCCGGTTGTTCAGTGATGAGCGTCTGAGGAACATGGCCACAAATTTGCCACATAAAACTGAAAACATTATAAATAAATATCGTAAAATAGTACGGAAAAACATATAAATTTAAAATTTAAGTGAACAGCAAATGAAACTAGGCAAAAAAACTCTATTTGCATAACAATAATAGAGAAACAATCTAGATTTGAAAAATGACTAAATGTTTAAAGTAAAAAAATACTGACTTAAAATAAGTATGCTCAAAAATATTTCTGTCTTGCAAAAAATGTTGATTATCTTGCCAAATCCACTCTTCAAGCTCAGGTGATAAATCTAATGTAATAGCTTCTCTAACTTGTTGCATTGGTGTATGACACTGTTCACTTGTTGTTTCAGATGTTGAAGCTTCGGATGTTGGGAGGTCTATATAAAACAAAATAAAATAATTTGTTTAAATCAAATTTGATGCTTTTACATATTAAATCATTTAATAACATTTTATATTTTTACATAATTTGATAAAAGATTAAATGCTAAATACGAAATTTGGATTCTTTATATTTAATTATTTAAACTTAGCAATATTTTATATATCGACATTTAGGGGCACACCTATTGTGAAATTTTCAAAAAATCGAATTTTGAATTTTTCCATATTTCAATAGATCATGCCTTTAAAAATAACATACTAACATTTTAAATCGATATCTTAAAAAGTTTTTGAGTTACAGCCATTTAAAGAGTATATATAGTATATAGTTTTAACAATCATTTTATCTTTAAACGCGTTTTCCTCGAAACAGAATTTTTCCAATTGCTGGAGTGATTATCGGAGACAAATGATCCGATCGCTATCAAAATTTTTTGCATCTCATCTATGTATTCTCCATATGATGACCTCCAGTTTTTTTTTTATCTGATCAAAACTCGAATTTTGGCAGGCTAAAAACGACCAAAATTTTGGGAAAATTTAACTTTTTTTCAACATGCCGCCATTTTGTCAATTTTTGAATTTTTGTTCGCCCGTTTTTGTTTTATTTTTTATCAACGAAGAAGGCTGCAATCACTCCAGCAGTGGAGGACCTTTTTTGGCGCCGCCGAAGATCGCGTGTGTAATTTAAAAAATATTTAATATTTTATTTCAAAAATTTTACTGCGTATTCTCAAAACATGTATAAATGTACCCTCAAAATTTTAAATAGATGTATTCACTAGTTTTTACATTTTTAATTCCCAAAAATGACCTTCTTGTCACACTAGGTGTGCCCCTTAAGAATAAAATCTAATTGGAAACAATTTTCAAAAATATTAACCTGAGCTTCTATCAAAACTTCTGAAGCTTCACCTCGTTGACTCTGACTACCATCCTGAGATCTCCATTCATAAAACAACATATATGCACTATTTGTTTTCTCAAAACTAAAATCCAAATATTTATCAGTCACAGAATCATAAGTTTTACTCTGGAAAATAAAAATAAAATTAATTTTTCAAATATTAGGGAAAATGCCAAATTGATATTCAACACATATTGAATTAATGATGTTTACTTCTTTCTTATTTTGTTCTATTTGTTGACTAACTTTGCTTTGTAAGTTTCAGTATAATGAGTTATGTTATCATGTTAAATAAAGTTGTTGAAATACACAGGGAGATAGTAAGGTAGTAACTAATTTTAAAATATTATTGACTGAAAAAAAGAATATATACTATATATACTTTATCCAATCCAATAACATAAAATTGTAAAGTTGATTGATAAAGTGAATGTATGACTAATGTACTTGTATACAAAGTCAGAAAACGATCGAAAAAAAAAAAACTAACCGTCATTTCCCTCTCAAAGCACTCAGCAGCTATCTGACTAGGATCAAAGATTTTCACTTCGGCGTCATTAAAAAGCAGCCATCTCGATGAAGATTCATTTTTATTATTGGTCCCTGTAACATTGGCATCACCCCTTTCTCTGATAAAGCTATAATAATGTCCTCCATCTGCAGTTCCCGTATGTACCGTCACACCAACCAAGTCGTACCTGAAAAATTAAGATGAATGAAATGAGAGAGAAAGAAATTGTTAAGCTTCGATTTTACTACTACACTTACTCATAATGCTCATTAAAATCTTCAGTATCACATGGGTCATCATCTGAAATTTTTTCAGAAGAATCATTTTTCTTTGGTTCAGACTTATTTAATTCAGACTTCTTTTTCTCTTCTAAAATTTATCATTAAAGTTAACAAATAATTATAACTTTTCATACATGTTTCATTTAGTTTTAAAAATGTAAAAAGTTTTAACCTTGATAATGCTGTGGCATCAGTTCTTTTTCAACATATCCAGACATGTCCAGTCGTAATGGAAATGAAAAATGTGTATTCACTTTTTCTTTAAGCATCGTCAACATATTGAATGTGTATCGCATTGTGTTAAAACATAAAATGTGAGGTAATTTCTTGAAACACGCCCTAAAAATGCAATATTATTTTTGCATCATAATATATTTTAATATTACAGTTATTATTATTTGTGTAAATAGTATAAATGTTATGATTAATTTTCCTTAAATTGATAATAATAAAATATAAATTTACCGTTTTTCAGCCCTAACTTTTCTTCCACATTGTGAGCAAGTATACATATTATCGCCGTCTAATGTATCTTTTACTGTAACTTCTGCTAAACTCTCATGAAGATTCCTCATATCAGCCACTTGGCATCGAACTGTATAAAACTCCTCTAGTGTTCTAGAAACATGCTCACAATCCTGTAAGATAAAAATGAAAAACATTAGTGACATTTTGTATTAAGGCAAGTTAAATAAACTTCCCGACATGTGTAAATAATCGACTTAATCAATAAGAAATCAATATATAAATATATAGGTGATTTATAAGTATACCTAGTTGCTGTAGGGTAATTGTAATTTTGAAAAAAAAATTCTTACAAAGTATTAATAACATAGTACATCACTTTGCGCAGGACTATAATATTTTAGTAAGTTTTTTTATATATTGTATGTATTTTATATGTATTTATTTATATATATTAATAAAAGTATAATTATAATAATTTACCAATGAAACAACATTATTGCTCAAGACCCCACAAAATAATCTTTTGACTAGCTTTTTGAGTTCAGGTGTCATTTCTTCCATTTTTGATACTAGATCAATAAAAAATTCTGCCATATCCTTTTGTTCACCAGTGTTCAATGGTTGGTGGTCCATTTGATAGACTCTACAAAAACTTCGAGGATTATATGCTTTACGTTCACTTTCCTGAAAAAAATGTTTATAAATTAAATGATATAACTAATTTCTCCTTTATATTTTGAATATTTAAATATGGAAATTTAGTAAAGCGTCAGAAAATTACTGCAATGCTCTACACAATAATTAAAAATATTTAAATCATAATTTCAAATTATAATATACCAATAAATAAGCAAACATTCTTCTCAATTCAGCCAAAGCTGGAGCATGTTTTAAGGGTCTGTCAGTTGCAGCAAGAATCGCTGCCCTGGCTTGAGGCATCATATACAAATGCTGAACACAACTAGCCATGTAACAAGTGGCTCCCAAATTTGTTAATCCCACATAACCGGCCTCTGCCCGACCTTCCTCTCTAGGCCAATAATCCCAGGGAAATGATGAACCAGGACCCGGTCGATGTTGTGCCAGTAGACGACCATGAAGAAGTGCATAATTGAAAGAAGCTCCTATTAAATGATTTTATATTAAAAAAAATACAAAATAAGAATACTAAAAAACAAGGATATTAAAATAAAAGCATAAAATAAAATTATTTTCCTACCTTTAACTAATTCTACAAGAAGATCATATGCCGCAGCTCTTGATGCTTGTGATTTACATTTTGGTAATAACCTAAAATGACATGAAAATATCAAATAAAATTTTAAATTAAAAAAATTAAAACTTTTTCATATTAAGTAGATTTATAAATATACCTATCTCTAGGTGTCGGCAGTGCAAATAAACAATCAAAAGCTGCAGTAACTAGGGCTGCACCTGATGGCCCAGTCTTGAAAGGTGGATCGTGCCTCATAACGGCTGCTGCCAGATTTAACAACCCAATGAGACCGTCATCCTGAATACCTCCATAACGGGGTTCTAGTATCGGCCGAGATTGTATCAGAGAAGATAAATGCTGTGCTAACTGTTGCAAATCACTAGAAACGTCTAACATTATTTCTGCATCGCCATCTACAATGGCATAATTACAAATGTGATTCTGTATATAATAATTGTGCAATATAAGAAATAAACAACAGGTTCATTGTACACCATCTAAAAAAAAAACTAAAACTAGTGGGGTGCATGGCATTGTGCCTTAAGGCAAACTGCTGGAATTTCCCGTACCGTAATTAAAAATCTTGCTATAGAACCTAAAAAAAAATTACACAAAATGTGTACACATTATTAAAATCTCTATAAAATATCTGATAGTTTGATATAAATGATAGTCCAATAAACATTTTTGACCCCCAAATATTTTTTTTTTTAACTTATTTTTATTGAGAGTCCATAACCGCTGAACCTGCCTTCCCAAAAATTTAATCAGTTCTTCATCTTGTCAATACAAGTAAAATGTTCTTTGAATTATTAAAATCGGATCCGTTCTCTTAAAAACTGAGTTACCGTTATTGGCACTTTTTGACCCGTATATTCGGAATGGCTAGACCTGCCTCCGACAAAAACTAATCAGCACGTCTTCTTATCAATACGAATCGAATGTTTTTTAAATTATTCAAATCGGTTGATCGGTGTTCCCGAAATCGTCGACGAAAATTTGTATCCGCACACACACGCACACACACATACACACACATACACACACACATGCATCCATTTTTTCTAAGGTATGCCAAAATATTCAAAAATCTTTAAAACGTCAAGATATATAAAAATTTTCATTTTCGATTTTTTGTTGCAATTACTATTACCTACAGGAAGTTAATAGTAACAAATTATTATTAGAAACAACATTTGAATGCTAATTTTGTTCAATTCAATAAAATATCCTTTCATCAACTACAATTAAGATTGAAAGTCTAATTAATAATATTATTATCATATTTTTTAAATACCCATTTCGTATATATTATTTAATTTATGAACTTGATTTGTGTACCTATGATTTAAAAATTTAATTAATTTTTATTTTATTTTTGTACTATATAATATTCAACTAGCTAAACACGATAAGATAAGAATGGGTTAATCAAATATACCTTTAGATTCTCCAACTGGCAAACTATCGACTAATCTACACAGTAACCAAAAGTAATCTCTGCACGCCGGGCCGTATGGTTCTTTACCTTCCTCTCCAGTAGAATTTAGTAGTAACTAAAATATAATTATGTTTTAAATGTGTTTACAATTTAGTATATAAATATATATATAAGCTTATTTTAAAAAATAGCAGAATTGTTCACAGTAATTGTTATCACTGTAAATGTTACAATAAAATTTACCAACTGGAAGTTCATAAATTAATTGTTCACTTTAAGTTATTCTTGAATTTGCCATGTGTTTAGCTTAGATAACACATATTATCATAATATAATATTATATATATATATATATATATATATGTTATATTATAATAAGAACAATTATTAATAACATAAACCTCCTTATCAGGTCTCATTCCTTCTGCTCTCGGCAAAGATGCAACCAACTGTTCTAACATAGGTCCAGTCATATCGGGACAGAGTTGACCCATTCTTAAACAAATTCTATATAAGGCAGCACATGCTTCACGCCTGACTCTTGGTTCAGGATCGTCTAAAACCAGCTTTTGCAACCATGTACAAGGACCAGGTTCTGGTTGTTCCCATAATGCAGCTCGAACCTCATTAGAACTATGAACCCAGGACACTAATAGAGTCATTGCATAATGTACTACCTGAAAAATGATTTCAAATAATATTATGATAAATTTTTTATTGAAGTTATTTATGCAAAGATGAAGTGAAAATAAGTGAAATAAATTGGAATTTTGTAAATATGTTTAAAATTAACAAATTGTTATCAAAATTGTTTCACGAACTAGAAATTTTAAATTTTAAATTATTATAAGTATTAATGAGTATAGTATTGTTTGATGCATAATGATTTATGATTGTCAAATTGTATTTGAAGCATATTCTTACTTGTCCACGGCCCCAAAATCCAGTCTTATAAAGCAATGGATCTCGAGGAAAGGCTGCTTCAGCTAATATACTAGTTAACCGAGGCATGGTGCTTTCTATAGTCATCATAGAGAGCATTTCCTAAAAAACAATTAAGATCTTATAGTTAGAATAGAAATTATGTGAAATAGTTAAAATAAGTATGTTATTTAATGGTCTATAGTTAACTATCTAAAGTTTAGATTCTAAACAAAATGTCCAGGAGAGTTCAATGTCTATACGACCTTGACCGCCATTCGGCATGAAAATTTTATTCAACAAAAATTCCTTTCTTCCATACCGGTTTTAACAGTGGTACACTCAGCATATTTTCTGCATCAGATGAATTGCTACTGTCGGTTCCACCTTCCAATCCCAGAGCACATAGTAGTTTGAGTAAAGTTGTCAAACAATCTTGCGTCCATTCACCATCATTTCCATTTTCTCCAGGTTGTAACAAACCTGATGAAAAAATACCAAACAAGTGTCGCAAGCCTCCGCGATTACAAAATTGAGTCTGCCATGAAGCTGATGATGTTGACAACTCTGTTAAAAAATAAATAACAAAGATAAATTAGTGCATATATATGACTGGGTATTTGCAGTATTATAACTGTAACATTTGTGACATTAGAAAAAAATATGATATGGTAAAAGTTAACATTACCTTCTGTAGGCGAAATTGCTCCATTTTTATCACCATCCTCATCCATACAATCTTCACTTTCTATGCAATGCTTTTCTCTATTTAATTTTAGTTCCTTTCTGTTGCCTTTAACTGTTAAGCATATTTTAATTTTAATGCTTTAAAAATCATCATACACAGTTATTATTTATTAGAAATATTTATTAACATAAGTACCAAATTCATCAATAAATAATTTGAATTGAATTGAGAATCATTAATTACTCCCACTAAATAAGTGCATGACTTACCAAGTTGTTCTTCAGCTGTTCTGCACAACCCTTCTACAACATACAAAGAGTACATCAATCTTTGAGGATTTGTAGGGTCTAATAATGTTTGCAATTTTGTGTTAACATCACAGTCTAATTGATCAAGATTTTCTGCTCCAATTTCTTCAAAGCCTCTTTGCAACTCAGGGGAAGTCGGGAGCAGTGTTAATATATCCCATACTCTGCGAGATAATAATTGTGCCTTGATGTGAGGAATAGTTCTCTGAAAAATATATAATAACTAGGTGTAAGTGACATTTTGCCGTAAGGCATGTTGCATAAATTTCTCGACATGTGTAAACAATAGACATAATCAATAAGAAATCAATAATATATTAATTCATGAGTGATTTATATTAATTAATGAGTGAATTGCTGTAGAGCATTAGAAGTGAAAACTGTTGCAGATTATTTAATTTTGTACAATTTTTTTTTGCGCATTATTTAAAAACAAACACGCGTTTAATCTTATTAATAAAGAAATAATAATATTTACTCATATGATAAATTCATAATGAGGCGCACAATATAATATATTATTATACTGAAAATGGTCACAAGAATATTCTCACATAAATCCTTTCCACTCGCGAGTTGCGAGATTAGATGTATTGCGGCGGCATTTGAGCGGAAAGGGTTAAGTTTTTGGGGTAGTATTTACAGATGAGATATTTGAACTTGCTCACGTGATTATTGGATGCCCCCTATGTGTGTGGATACAAATCTTTGTCGACGATTTCGGAAACACGAATAAACCGATTTGATTAATAATTTAAAAAGCATTCGATTCCCATTGATAAAGAGACGTGCTGATTAGTTTTTGGCTATAGCAGGTCCAACCTTTCGAAGATCCTGTGCATCTTATTTTGAGAGAACGGAGCGTCCGATTTGAATAATTCACAAAAGATTTTACTTATATTGACAAAGTGAACAACTGTTGAATTTTTGGGAAGGCATGTCTACCGTTTCCGGAGATCCAATAAAAAATGTAGAAAATAATGCCATTTGGCGGTTAAAAATGATCATTAGACATATGTACATTATATTGTCAGATATTTTATAAAGATTATAATAATAAGTACAAATTTTGTGAATATTTATATAAATGCGTAAATAAAAGCGTAGCCGATTATTACTCTTGAAGTAGCAGTTTAGTCAAGTAGCAGTTTTCGAATTTATTATGAAAGTATTCCTAGTGGATTTATTACATATAATTGAAAACGAACGAACACATTAACTCGGAGTATTTTCTAAAAGCAATATTTCAAAAATCAACCATTTTTATAACAGAACCAGTTTCCATAGGACCAAGTACTCTATCGCTATACCAAGTAATTCGCAAACTTAATGAATTTTTAAAATTGAACTACTTGTCGTAGGGCCGCAATATTTCAGTAAGTTCTATAAGACCATGATATTATATATCACTAAAAAAAGTTCCATAAAAATCGAGAAACTCAAATTCAAGTGTGGCATGTATTAAATAACGTGATGTATTAAAAAACTTATCAGTATCATTCCCAACTAATATCTTTCGACCAGTTTTTGCAAATTACAAAGAAACGGCTCGGCCGATCTTCGCACAAAACTGGGAAACGATAATCCTCATCGAGATACATCAAATGGCTTTTAAATTTCTGAAATCGGTTCAGGCGTTTTTCAGCAAACGTCAATGAAAGGTCTAATTTTGACAAATACCAAAAAAACTATACTCATTTTTGCAAACTTTGACAAATTTTTAAAGTTAGTATGATCTAACAGACCATGATATCTACCGTCAAAAAAATAATAATAAAAATCGTCGAATTTTTTTTTTAACATTTTATTACTAAAAAACGGCCCGGCCGATCTCTACCAAAAACTAATCAGCAAGATTCCTAACCAATATCTTTCGAACGGTTTCAGAATTTTCAAAATCGATTCAGAATTGCGGGCTAAAACGTGGACAAAAACCTTGTCACTTTTCTGCTATTTATAAAGAAACGGCTTAGCCGATCGTCGTACAAAACTGACAAACGATAGTCCTCATCGAGGTACATCGAATGGCTTTTAAATTTTTGAAATCGGTTCAGCCGTTTTTGAGAAAACGTCGATTTGCAGAAAAAAATCTTCACACACACACACACACACATATACTTTTTTAAAATTTGGTCTCAATTGATTCAGAATGGCTTAAAAAGTCGAGGAAACATAAAATTAGCAAATCGGATTTTTTTTATGAAAACATAAACTTCTCCTTCGGGAAGTTAAAAACAAAATGCATTAACAATACATTAGAACATACCCCATTTCTTCCAATGGATTTCATTTCTCCAAGAGTTTTCATTAATCTAAACAATTGCTCCAGATAACTTGGCTGAAGTAGCAGAAGAGTAGGAAGAGAATCCTTAGGCGGAGGAGGTTGCAAACTAGTGCACTCTTGAGATTCTCTGTTAGAATTTGCTCTCGCACCAGCTCCAACAGAAACATAAACCATCTACATTAAAGATAAAATAATTAATTTATCTTGTTCTTATGATGTGCTTAATAGTCTTGCAAATAATATTAATATAATGTTCATAGACTTTTATCTCATTAAACAATTTTTTTGAGATAGTACAACTTTTCGAAAGATTTAAAAACTTAAATCCGAAAAAATTCTTTGGTTACAGAGAATTTAAAGAGTAAACATTTACAGAGAGGAATTTTTTTCGATCTCTTTTGGCTTACCAAACAGTAAAATATATGTAGATGTCAATGAATAAATTCAATAGTTATGTCTACTAATTAGTCTTATGCAATTAACACGCCACTTTTGACAATTAATGGCTAAACTAGTAACATTTCTTAATTATCGCCAAAAATAAAAAGAGATTATTATCATGTTTTGCTACAAAATAATGACAGTCTATTATTCATACTATTACTAACTTTAAGTTGATCATTGTTCAGCTTACTTGATTATCTTTGAATCCCACATCTTGCAGAGTTCTTTCATCATGTTCTGTACATATTTCTTGACCTTGAGTTATAATCCTCAATGCATGTGGGCTAGATGAACCCCTAAGCTGCTCCCACCACTGAGCTATTTCTGCTCTGAGATCAGCTACATAATCAGAACTAAGCATCTTCAGGGATGATTTATCTTTAAGACCACCTGGTTGCAAAAAGATTTTAATTGGTGAACCAGAGCAACCCCGATCTGACCATGGTACGTGGCTAGATACGCCTTCACCTTCCAAAGCCCAACGTCGTAAATGATAAGCATATCTGCAACATTGGTTTTAATATTCTTACTTCATATAAATCATATTTAACTATATTAGATACAATGACTTTTCTTTATATGTAATGTCTTTGAATTAACTATTTATTAATATAAGTGTACAAAGATAGTCATAAAATTGCTATGAAGAAAAATTAAAAGTTGAACTTTTTAACAGAAAGTAGAAGCATTATTCATATTATTTTGAAAAATATGGAAAAATAATTTTGTTAAGTAAATACAGGCAATTGATGCAAGATGTCAGGCAAAACATTTACCTGCGTCTAAACGTTTCTAAATGTGTATTTAATAACAATAGAGCCCTCTGAATACATAATAAAGCATTTTCACTTCCAACAGTTAAATTGTTATCTGAAGATTGTTGCTGCACCAATTCTTTCTCGGCTTGTGATAGATGAGACATACATTGTGATACGAATTCTCTTTCCAAACGTAGTCTGTAAACAGAGTAAATAATCAGATATTGCAGTTGCATATAAAAACTAATTGCAATAAGTCTTCTTTTCTAAAAATGTTTATTACCTTCGAGCCATATAATATCCATTTAGATACTGCATGGCTGCAGCAGAAACATCAGTGCTTCTTGCTCTTAATGCAATTTTCCACAAATGGGAAGTGCAGGCTATTTCTCCATCCGATCCTGATGTAGTGGACTGTTTTGGAAGATTTGTTGATGATTCTGAGTCCATATGTACAGCTGCAAATCGTGCAAGACTGCATAATTGTTGAAACAACCCTAAAGCAACCATGCTAACATCCTATAATAAATAACAGTATTGAAATAAATCTTGAATTTCAAAATAGTATATAGTGATATATATTAACAGTAGTGAAAATAACATTAGGTGATTATGAACTCAAACCTCAGGTTGTAGAGTTGGCAGTTTTATCAAATATAAATGCCTCAAAGCAGCAACACCTAGTGCGTGCTGTTCTCCACCTTGACACTGTGACTGCATCCATGAAAATAAACAATCACTACATTGTTGATCATTTGCTAACCAATCCCATAAGCTATCAACTTGCGCTAAAGTTAATCTGGAAAAAAAGTGTTAATTTATTTCTCATAACAAACAATGAAAAGTACATTTAAGTAACATTAGCAAATACAAATAAATAAGAAACTCATAAAATGCTATAATGCTTTTAGTTTCATACGAGAAACGAGAGTGCGAAATTACTTAAGTTTATCAGTTTCAATGATGAATGAAATAATAACACACCAAAGACAAAATCACTGTGGGATCCCAAAA